CAGACGATACCCCTCATTGCGCCAAACCTACCTAGGTCCCCCAGTAGTGCCCTTTTGCCAACTTATTTGGGGAGGGTTCCCCTACTAAAATAGACTACAGAAAAAGTTGGTACCAACTTATTCTAACCTCTCAAATCTACGCGCCAGCCTGGGATCTGACGTCACCGCCTTTCACTTGTGATCTGACCTTCCCCAGAATTAGCTCCCCTTCTTATTTTTTTGCTGTTTTGGGGTTCCCTTTGTTTTCCACTATTGGGCAAAAAAGAGATATATTTTTGCCGGGGTCCTCATTCCAGCCACGTCAAGAGATGTGCCGGTGCCCTGGGCGAGGTCAATTTGCGGCCTCGGCTCGAGTGCTTCTTGGCGCTCGGCCCGTAGAAGTCGAAGGGTTCGGGTCAGCGGGCTGGCTTTGATGCAAACGGCCGCGGCAGCTTTGCATACAGAACACACGTGCACACATGCACATGCACATGCACATTCACATGCACATGCTTGTATGTGTATATATTATATATTTCCAGATCGCATACATATACCTCTACATATGTATACACAATACATACATATTATATATATATATGTATACATAAATCAGACGGACAGACTCACCAGAATACCAGCACCCCGCGCAAACATTCCATGTTAGCCAAGGGAACACAGATTGACCACTCGGAAAGCCGAAGAAAAGCGTGAAGAGGCAGACCCATGTCCGAACCCAAGTAGGCGGCCGAGCAGAGAAAAAGGCAACAGCACCTTCGTTTGTTGGGGGGGGGGGAGGCTCTTCTGGAGATGATGACAAAAGCCATTCGTTTCTGCGTAGTTCTTCTGGCGAGGGTAAAATGAGCTCACCATGATAGCCTTATGCCTTGGGAATTTGGAATTTCAAGTCTTGGACACACTCTTTTGTGCAGATTGTCCCCGGAACGCTTTGGTCCAAGCCATAAAGACTGACGGGTCAGGCCGAGGGTTAGGCTCTGCTTTGGCCGCCTTTTCTGCTTTTTGTGGGGGGGAAGCTACACTTGTGACTGAGTTGAAACAACTTCGGGGCCCGCCGAAAGCCCTGGCATTTTGTTACATCAGCCCGCGCCGTGGAAAAATTCGAAGCTTCTTTCGGGAGATCCCCGGGTTTGGAACATATACGAATTCAGAGCCGAGGGGAGCCATGGCTCTGAATCAGACTATGAGTGTTTCTTGGTATTTCCGGAGACCAAACGGAAAGCAACCATTTTGAGGGGACCTGTGAGGAAGACCCACTCCGCGGAAAAAGGTCAGCTCAGCCATATTGTTGTCAGTCCGCGTCCGTCCGCGGACTTTTTCTTGCAGTTCAGATTAGCTGCCGCGTCCTTTTGCGCCGCAAGGCGCTGCCTCGGTCGCAACTCTCCAAGTTGGACTGACATACACCACGTCCTCAAACACCCTGGTGCATAGATGAAGGTTAAGGGATAGTCCCAGCAAAGTCGATGCGGATATCAAGAGGCCCTTTTCAATGTTCCATAGTTCTGGGAGCTTTTGGCCAAGGGAATTTGCCTGAATCTTCGAACGTTTGGGCGGCTTTTGGGGTATGTTTAATCTGCAGAGTAAACAAAGAACTTCCTGTAAGTCACAACAGTCGGCAAGTGGTGTTCAAATATTTGGGGCTTGTGGCATGGTGTGTGGGGTGAGTACCTGGGGTTCAGATGCCTGGAGTGAGCCACGGCTTCAAAGCACGGGCAACTTGTGACAAGTTCCCCTGAAACGGTGGGAACGAGCTAGCCCAGGAATGCATTTCCTTTCGTGGGGGATCTCTAGAAAATAGGGAATATCAATTTACCCAGATGAAGATCTTCCCGTGAAACATCGGGATGCTTGGTCTGACCCTTTCCTTCTGTTTGAAGCCTTCATTCAGACGAACAGGCTCGCCTCGCCAAAGGACATGCGCGATAGTGAGTTTCGACCATTTGCTGTTGCAAAGGATAAATTGCAGGGTCTCTGTGACCCGGGGTTTTGATGCATAATTTCCTCCAGTTTTTCTCGACACATATGCGCCTATCCCAAACTGGGAGATCTCCTTTTGGATGGTGCTTATGGGAAACCAAGACAAATCCCCAGTTTTCCCACATCTCTCTCTCTCTCTCTCTCTCTCGCTCTCCCTCTCCCTCTCTATCTCTCTCTCTCTCTCTCTCTCTCTCTTGGGGGGGGGGACCATATATGTATTTGTGTACATATATATATATATACACATTTAATATCATTTCAAGGGGCGATTTTGAAGGCACGAGACTTATGCTAGGCCCATGGGCGACAAGGCCAAGAGCTGGGGCCCCAAGTCGTTGCTCGTGGGGCGTGGGGGTGGCCTGGAGAGGTCGCGCGTTTTTCATAGAATGACAGGTGGGTATGAGTCAAAATTAAACCACCAGGAATTGGACCGCAGGTTTTGGTCCATGTCTTTACTTAGCAGGATATAATTTTAGGTACATATTTTTGGCCCGCAGCCAGGTAGGAACCGTGAGAACCACGCCACTGCGCAGTGATTTGATTTGGCTTCGACTCCAAATCGCGCCCCAAAACGAGTGGTCTCCCCAGAGTTTCCCTTCAAACAAGTGTAGCAAAAACGTAATGTGGACCCCGGGATTAATAAAACCCTGTATATGGGGGTGTTCCCTCCAAAAGTGATGATTCCCAGCAAAATTCAGGGGCTTTCCCCAAAAAATCTCAACCGGGGTTAATTAATCCGGGGTCAACACTACCCTCAACAAAAAGACACGCCGAGATCAACTTCTTTTGAGAGCGCCTAGAGCTGCTCCGAAGCACAGAGGCCGTAGCTCAGGGTTCATTGATTCAGAGCCACTGGTGAGCCATGGGAAGGTTACAAGCTTCCCATTGCTTAAACTTATTTTTGACTTGCCCCTGTTGGTCTTGAAGGGAATCTATCACTACTGGACATCTTTTCATTTTCCAGGGGACTCAAGCAGATGGAGGTAGGCGTCTGGAATGGGTGACTTCGCCAGCTTGGAATCAGGTGATTGGGGAGGTTATTCGCATTGATATATGGGGCGTTGATCAATATTCCTTGCCTCCAAAATATGCGTTGGTAACATTTTCCATTTATTTTTTTAGTGGTTTGCCACAATGGACATCCGATTTAAAGAACCATTTGAAGCAGAAAAGTGTACCCTCGAAAAAGGCACCCCCACCTTCATTTGTGTTTCAAAGCGTTCCAACCTTTCCAACTAACTTTAAGAGCCTTGATACACTCCCGCAGACCAATATGGAAGCTCCCCCAATTGGCCGATCCTGTACATGGGTTATCAAGTCTTGTAAAGGGGTCCTGGGAACTTCCATGTTAGTCTGGAGGGCAACCTGTATAACCTTTACACCCGTCAGGACCTTTTTGGATTGACAACCTATTCAGCAGGGATCCTGATACATGTTGCAACCATTTGACAAATGTTGCTTTTTCAACACCAAAATGAAAGGAAACCACCATTTACAAGTTGCAATGTTCAGGTGTATTCACTGTAAGGTACTGAGAGGCCAACTTGAGCCCTAGGTGCAAAGAAGGGCAAGGACTCGAAGGAGTGGAGTTGAGTTGGTCGGTTTTTCCTCGGAGCAATTGGTGCTTGTGACGTTGGGGCGACACATCATGGACTGAGATTATAAAAGTGTGTGTTCAGAGAAAAACACATCGAGGTCCCGGTTAGCATATCCTTCGCAAGACCCTCAACAAAAGGCAGGCACAGTCTAATGCTGCCCCCATATCAACCCCAGTTTATTCGTAGGGGGGTGGCCCCCTCCAATGGTGGTCTGATTCCAACCACATTTCACCCGGGGAAGAGTAATTCCGCCCTATGAATGGTTCATATGGGGCCACAGCCCCCGGGCTACGAAGTTGATCCGGGCTATGAAGCTGACTGGCGGGGATTCTAGGAAGGTCCAAGCTCCTTGGCAAGATGAGCCCTTTGTGGGGTAGCAGGTTGCTCAAATCGCGAACTGCAAAGAGGGTCCTTACAAAGGAGTAGGGGGAGAAGGAGGACTCAACAATTTTAGGTTTGCTTGTTGGGGTGTGGGGTGGGGGGTTCTTATCCATGTTGGGGAAAGAGGGGGGTTCAAGCCTTCATCAGGCCGTTGAGGTGGGGTGGGGGGGGGGGGGCTGGGATTTTGAAATCTACTCAGTTAGGTTATTGAGCTGGCTTTCAAGGACACGAGCAGATGGCCAGTTTATCAACCAAGGGGCACACAAGCCAAGAGCTTCGTACCCACCGGCGCAAGCAAAACAGCTAGCAAGCACAAAGAACACTTTGCTCCAGCACGCAGGCTTGTAAGCCTAGTTCATGTTCATGAGAATCCAATCTCAAAGCGTGTGCTGCCTTTAAGCCGTCAAGCCAACTCCAAACTTTCGACTGCGACCCCCAGACCTCCAGGTTTTTTTTTGGCGGGGGGAAGGGAGCTTGGGAGCGAGGCCGGCCTGTCAGAGGGTTCTACCCCCTGGCTTTATGAGAATGTTGCAGGGCCGTCTCTCAAAATTGGGGGCTCCTTTTTTGGACGGTTTTGAAGGGACACCAAAAGGGAAGCACCTAATCTTACCACATAGATGCTTTGCTCAATTGAAACACTGGCAACAGTTTTGCGATCGCTTCACTGGAATCTGATGGGATTGGCATGACGCGCTGGACAAAGCTTGAAGGGGTTGGCTTGGGCGTTTCGAAACATCCGCTTTCCCTTTCGAGGGCTTGGTGCTGTCCAGGAGCCGTTCGTACAGCAATACGAGCTCAAGGCCAGGCGCTGGCTCGCCCGTCTTTGAGAATTTTGATGGGGAACCGCCTGAAAGATGGTTGGCCACTCGTCTTACCCTGAACTTGTCTCAAGGAGAACCCCCCCAAGCATGTTGAAGCACAACCCCACGCGACCACAGGCTTCGGGCGTCGGGCGCAGGATGTGTTCCCACACTTCGTGGAGCGCAAGGACAAGTTGGTGGATCTGAAGCAGGTGCCCTACGTCCTGCGGGCCATGGGCTGCGGCCC